AAGACAGGCATATGAGTTGAACATTTACCTGAGGTAGATACACTCCTTGGAGAGAACAATCATGGGAGAAAGAAGGGCTGTTTATGCACAGGGAGGCGGCTCAGGGGGCAGGAGTGCATGGAGAGATGGACACAGGGAAGAGGTAACTATCGGGAGGAAGTGGGAGGGAGCTGTTCCACTGGGGTAAATTGTAGTCAATGTCACGAGACAACGTGTGTGAACTGCTGTATGGAAAGTGAATTTGCTCTGTTAATTTCACCCAAATCACAGTTTAAAAAAAAAAAAGAAAAAGAAAAAGAATTTCCTTGACCAACAATTACATCTCACCTCATTTTTCTGTTTAAGAAGCATCTTCAAGATCTTCTCTGTGAAAAAGAAAAGGTAAAAGCCCCCAAACACCACTGCAGACTTCGAAACATAATAATCTTCCAGAGGGTTGAAACCAAAAGCCTGTGGACCCAGGAAAACAGACTTGAGTTTAAGACAGTAAAAATCTTCTCTGGTTCCCTCTCATTCTTAACCACTTCCTTGACTCTAGGAAAGGAGATATTCTGCACAAACCGTTCCATCTACCCACTCTCTTTTTCAGCAAATCTAATTCTTACTTCCCTGTGATATCATCAAACTTGTCAGATTCTCTTTAGTTTATTTTCTGACACAAAAGACAGATGATCTTTAGCATTTTATTCTCAGGAAGGACAGCTCTGGATATTATTTTCTACTTTTAATAAGGACTCTGTTTTAATTTCTCCTGGTGCTTTGCTACAAGGGCATATTTTGTGAGTAAGTTCCTTATTTAAGGAGAAGGTCTGTTTGTTTTCATCTTATCTAGTGTCCCTGGCTGATATGCCTCTAAACACAAAGGAAGATGGTATACTTATACTTTCTAAAATGGGAAATCTATCCCTCAATTAAACAGCAAGAGTTTCAGAACCCTCCTGACCACAGATCTTCCAGTGGCCATAAAGCCAAAAAAAGCAGACTGTATGACTGCATGTTTTTTTTTTGTTGTTGTTGTTTTGTTCTGGATTTTTTTGGTGAAAACTTCACTTATTAAACAAACAAAAAGAATCCACAGAAAGAGAACATCAGGAGAATTCCATTATACATTAAGCTCCTGAGTTGTGGTAAGAGCTCAGGAAAGTGTCAAATGACCTACACCTCAGTTTTCTGACAGGCAAAGGGACTTGAAAAAACTTCAGCCTTCCCTGAAGGCTTGTGGTGGCATAGTGCCTAAGGCATCTCACTGCTAACCATAAGGCTGGAGGCTCAAACTCACCAGTCATTCCTCAGAAGGAAGATTGGGCAACCTACTTCCGTAGTGATACTGCCTCGGAAACCAAAGGAGTTGCTATGAGTTGATTTCGACTCAACGGCAGTGAGTTTTTTTTTTTTTTTTCCTTCAGCTTTCTCATGAATAGTGAAATGAAAGTGATAAGTAGTAGGCTGCTTAAATATCAAGCGCTTTCCTTTCTGTTTTAAAAGGACAAAATACAACTAATATCCCCTGCTATAAGGAACTCTGGTGGCATAGTGGATAAGACATTTGGCTGCTAATCAAAAGGTTGGCAGTTCAAACCCACCAGCTGCTCTGTGGAAAGAAGATGGGGCAACCTACTTCTGTAAAGATTTACCTCCTTAGAAACCCAATGGGGGTCACTGTGAGTTGGAACTGACTGGATGGCAGTGAGTTTGGTTTTTTGGCTTTACCGCCTACTGCAGTTTTCTGGAATCCCTGGGTGATACAAATTGTTGATGGACTGAGCTGCTAACTGAAAAAGTTAGAAGTCTGAGTTCACAGAGATGCCTCGGAAGAAGGCTTGGTGATCTACTTCTAACAATTCAGCCATTGAAAATTCTGTGAACACAGTTCTACTCTGACACACAGGGGGTCACCATGAGTTGGAATCAACGGGCCATCAACTGGTCGTTACTGCAGTTTTCTAAGAGACATAAAGGCTAGGTTCTAGAGTAGAAACACAACACAAAAGCCACCCTTCCAGGATACTCAAGTCACTATGGGAAAAGTGAGTGAAACTAACTCTCTAACAGGCAATGAACACCTCTCTACAAAAAGCCATGAAGAATGGCAGAGTACAAAAGCATGGCTTAAGGAAATTATAAAACTGGAATTCTAGGCTTACTGAATCGTATGCAGGTCAGATTCTCTGCTAAATGGGTAAAATATTATTTGTTCTATGGGATTTCAGAGCTGATCAACTAAGACAATCACAATAGCATTTTGGAATACATAAAGTGCTAAGTAAAAAGCATGTGATGTCATCTTTTTGCTTCAATTACAGCTATGCCCAGGCCTGTCAGACCACCTACAATGAAATGTCTCATGCTTATTGTAATTCCAAAACCTGAACCCCTTGCCCCCGAGTTGATTCCAACTCAGAGCAACCCTAGAGGACAGAGTAGAACTGCCCCATATGGTTTCCAAGGCTATTATCTTTATGAGAACAGACTGCCAGTTCTTTTCTTCCATGGAGTGGCTGGTGAGTTCAAACTGCTGACCTTCTGTTTAGGAGCTAAGTACTTCACCACTGTGTTGGCACAGGGCTCCTTTATTATAATTTGCAGGTTTAAAGACACTACATCAAATTGGAAGAAACATCTCAAGTGTTGATGACCAAACTTTACAAATGCTAAACTTTCTCTTCTTTGCGGAGGATTTTCTTGATAAACTTTGTAGAGACGCAAAGTGTCAATATATGTGAAATAAGACTGTTTTATTTGGATTACGTTGCTCCCAAACACTCAACTGAGGAAAACTGATCCTTTGATTGAGACCTATAGATTTCGATGATGTGTTTTATACTTTTCTGTGTCAAAACCTCCAAACAGGAGCCATGAATTAATCTAGCTACATTTCTTCATTTAACAGTTATATAGCACTTACTAGGCACCAAAGGCGCTAAGTTTCACAAATTTTAACTCATTTAATCCTCACATCATCAGGAGGCTGGTCCTATTATTTCCCCCATTTTGCATATGAGGAAACAGAAGTACCGAGAAGTTAAGTGACTTGATTTGCCCAAGGTCACAGAATGTGCACACAGTAGAGTTGGGATTTGAACCAGGCTGTCTGTACGTTGTCTGTGCTCTTCAACCTAATACTATGCTGCTTCTCCTAGCTTATGCCTAGAAGTCCTAGCTTTACTTTCTAGAATGGAAGGACCCCAAGGTCTTCTCTCTATGCCTTCCATCTAAATGAAGGGTCCTCCCACTGTCCCCCCAGGAGATGGGCTGTGCTCCTGTGTGACAAAGCCCTGGCTTGTCATACCTCGGGGATGAGCTGGAAGAGGGCGTTGGAGTAGAGGGTTCCAATCGCCAGAGCTATGAAGTAGAGCAGCAGCCGCTTGTAAAAAGTCTTCTTCATGAAAGGCACCACGCTGGCCCCCATGAGGGAGCAGAGGGAGATGACGGTCACACAGAGGAGACCATATCCCCACACTGCCATGGTGGAGGAGGGCCAGCCCCACCCAGGACAGGGAAAAGGGTGGACGCCCCATTGCATGGCAACCACCAGTTAGGGAAGGGAAGGTGGAGAGGACGGGGAGGCAACAAGGAAAGTTTTGGTGAATATTAACAAAGGAAACAAAAAAGAAAAATCAAGAGAGAGACAAGTAGGGAGGGAGAGAGAAACAGAAAATTTGTTAGTGATTCAAATCTGATGAAATTTTCTTCAATCACTTCAGAAGAAATGAGGAGGAATACATGGTGGCCTTGGAACTCTGTGACTCCTGCCCCTGTGGCCTCTAGTGGCCCAAGTCACAGCTGCCAGCTGGGAAGTGAGTGCTGCCAGGATGAGTGCTGCTTCTGGCACATACGTGAGGTGTGATCGGGACTATTACAGAAGCTGCCCATGACAGACTTTGGACTCAAGGGCTCTCTTCAACAGGAAACAAGAGCAGCGTTAAGAGACCGATCATTATGCTGTGTTTGTTTTGTACATCCAATCTGTATTGCATATGCACATGTGACACTACCTGGATTTGCTTTGGTTTGTGCAAAATACAACAAAGTCAGATGTGCAGGGCAGAAGTGTAGAAGACAAGTAAGAACCAATTCCCACAAAATTCAATTTCTTAACTTTTCAGTGTTTTTCGTTTCAGTTTGCCTAGAGGGGGACTTGAGTATAGAGAACAGAGTTCCATGATCACCAACTCACAAAAGTATTTCCTCTAGCATTTCCCAATGTCACACACCCTGGGCTTCGAGTCCAGGCCCAGACAGGGCAGGACAGAACTGGGCTGAGATAAGATATTCCCCTGTGAGCCACAGAGGCGAAGTATGTATGATGATTTCGTTTCCATTCAAACGGGTAATGGAGCATTTCATTTCAAATCTTCACAAAATTAATAAATTATATTTCTGGAGCTGAAAAAAATAGCCCAAGATGAAGCCTCCCCTGAGAAGGGTTTAGCTGCCTCATGGGAGATTTTGAGAGAGCATCCACATGGCAAATCTTAAATCAGATTTCTTCTTTCATTTTAGAGGAACAGAGGAGGTATAGGATCTCCCCCAGTACCATTTCTGGGTTTGCGAGTTCTTATTGGTACAGACTGGGAAGCTGCTGGCATAGACTCTTTATGAAATGTGGCCCGCTGCTATTCCCAAAGGGGATGAAGATGTGTCTGTGTCTGCTGCCGGAGTTGAAAAGGCAGGCTATCAGCTTGGGTCTTATTTTTATAGCTCTTCAGTGACAATAATTAAAAAACAAAATATATTTCCAAACAACCAAGTAAAGGTACCAGGAAGTCAGTCAGTCCTATCAGGACAAAGTCAAGATGCAAGGTATGAAGCATTGAGTGCTCCTTTCATTTATTTCATATTTTAAAATTCATTTGGTTGTATTTTTCATAGTCTTTGTTCTATGAGTAGCCTTCTATGCTACACATGAAAGATTGTTTAAAAAAGAGGTCACTTAATTTTAGGATCCCTTAATTTCTACTCATCAGTGGGTAAGCTGATCCCAGATGAATAATCTCTTGGTGGCTGCACTTGACCACTACTGGGTTTTCTAGTTAAAACAGAGAGGCTTTCTAAGTAGCAAGGGCATGGAGAGTGTCCAAAAGTTATAGCTTTCCTTCTGAGCCCTATAAATGGGGCTTAGGAAAGGCACTGAGGCAGGAAGGCTGGGAGGTCCTCAACAGGGAGGCCAAATGCTATGAGCCTTGCATCTGATACTACCTGAAGAGGCCAGAGGCAACCTGAGTACCCCAAGGAGTGAGAGAAGGTCCTTAAGATCTGAAGGTAGAAGTCAATTGTGTCTATTGATGTGAGGGATAAATTAATTTCTCAGGTGGCACAGAACACAGGGTGTAGAGACATCAGTGAAAGGAAGGCTCAGCTGCGACACCCAAGGGAAAGAAGATGCACAAGAGAGGAGTTTGCTTATTTCTGTTCTACTGCACCTCTGGGATCAGCTGGAAGAGCGCGTTAGAGAACAGCGTTCCAATGGACAGCGCGATGAAGTAAGTGAGCACACGGCTGAAAAACGCTTTCTCAGTGCAGGGCAGGACGAGAACTCCCAGGAGAGAGGCCAGGTTAATCAGTGACACACTGAGGAAACCAAAGCCCCACACTGTGGAGGAATAAGAACAGACGAGGGCCTCTATTACTAAGGGTGGGAGCACCCCTGTGCCTGGGTGTGCCCATTCCTGGTCGGGTGTGGTGAGGGCAGCCAAAGGAGATCAAACAAATACTTATTGAGTCCATGTTCTGCCAGGTGCTGTGGGCAAGCCTAAGAAAAATATATCAAAGCTGCTATCCAAAAGAAGCTTATGTTTTGGACAGAGAACATAAAAGGTTAAATACCATATGTATCAAATAACAATGGCAGAAAACAATGTATGACATAACTCAAGGCATCATATGCTAGTAGCACACAGCAGTCCTACAGGATTTCAGAAGGGCAGTCGGAGACCTGAAGAATCTCACACACTCACACACCAGGGTTAGTCCAATGTGGCTGGAGCCCAGCTATGAGGAGAAGGAGAGGGGGAAGAAATAGGTCAAGGAAAGACTCTGCAGGGCCTTAAATGTTAACCTATATATAAAAAATTAAAAACTAAAAAAAAACCAGGCACTGGCCTCCTTGTGGTTTAATGAAAACAAACCAACAAAAAAAGCATTCACTGGGCTGGACACAAAGTCCCACACTCTGAACATTCACCAGCCACGTTATCCACGAGTCTGCCCATGTACTAGACCAGGTTTGTGAGTGCAAAAAATGTAAGTACAGTCATTACTTTAATTCTTCCCTCCTGATGTGGATAACCTGGTCCTGGGTTAAACATTCAGGGAGGCCCACAATCAGGAGATTAGCCCCGGCAACCAGTGTGAGGCCAAGCAGGTAGATCAGGCCACTTCTTTCTCTCCCAGCTCACCTTCAATGGCACTTGGCTTCCCCTCTTCTGTCTGCTCATTCTCCTCATTTTCCTGGTTCTCGGAGGTGCAGGCCTGGGAATCCAGCTGCTGGAGAATGGTGGGGCAGAACTCCTGGAATTCACTTTTCCCAATCCGTGACTGGTCACTAAGATTGTGGGCAGTAAAGAGGTCTCCAGAACTGAAGCACTGAAATGAAGTGGGCAGGCAATGGGAGAGTAAAAAAACCCTCTTAGGATTCAAAAGTCCTACTTTGTCCCTTAGCAACAGACTCAGCCTTCCAAGAGAAAAAGGAGAAGATAAGACATTACCAAATTTCAAGGAGTCTGTAATCTGGCTGCACATCACAATAGCCCAGGGAGCTACTGTATTAAAATGCAGATTCCAGATACTTCTCCAGGGTTAGTGAGTACTAGTATCTGCAGGGACAGGGTTCCCTGAAAATGTGGTACCACCCAATGAAAACTACACGTGGACAGTATGTTGACAGAGGTTAACTTGGTGTGTCGAGTTGATTCCAATGTATGGAGACCCTGTGTGTTACTCAGTAGAAGTACGTCTGTGCGCCACAGGATTTGCTTGGTTGGAACCTTTGTGGAGGCAGACTGCCAGGCCTTTCTTCCATGGTGCTGCTGGGTGGGTCTGAACTGCCAAACTTCAGGTTAGTAGTCGAGCACAAACTGTTTGCGCCACCCAGGATAGGTAAAGAAAATCTCAAGATTCAAACTCTGCCAATGGGCAAATGGGCAGGCCAGTGCACATGAGCACTCCGAATTCCCCTGGGAGGCAGCAGGTAAGTGGTTCTCACTCTTATGAAACATTGCAGTGTTACTATCTCTCAGATTCACTCCTCTGGGTGTGCTGACAAAATAAGAGTTCCTGGGCCTACAAAGCTGAGGGCTGGACTCTGGTGACCTCCAGATACTGCTGCTGCCCTGGGAGCTCTGAGACCCACCCTGGAAGCATCTAGAGTCAGGCTGCTGGGCCCTCTGGGGGCACTCTCAGTATTATTTCAGCTCACTCTCATCTCGAAACCTCTATTATTTCTGAATCACTTACTGTCCAAACCGCAAAATTTAACAGTTCATTTTAGTTATTAGCTATCTTTGTTCTTTGCTGGTTGGTCTCTCCATCTTAACAGGAAACTCCTTAGATATGACTCATCTCTCTCCATTTCTCACAACACCCAGCACAGAGAACAAAGTAGATGTATAAAGACTTTGCTGGTTGACTTATATTTGGCTGCCACAAATAGCCTCACACTCTGATTAGCTAAAATAATATGGAAGGAAGAACAAAGAACTAGGAGCCAAAAGACCTGAGTTCTAGTCCCGGTCCTACCAGTAACTTACTATGGATGAGACCCTCAGTATTCTCCCTTATGAAATGAAGATCATTCCACCTGCATCTAGAGGTACTATGAAGTACACATGGGACAGTGTTCCAAGTGCTTTGTCAACTGTAAAATCTATTAGAAATGCTAACTGTCCTGGGAGCTGCAGCTTTCCAGAGGTTCCAAGAGATCCAAGTATAGTTCCAAGGAAGAGATTGGAAGGATGAAAACCCCCACTTCACTACTGTCCTTTGCTAAGGGCTTCAAAACACCATGCAAGTGGTCAGGAGACATTGTTAGAAAAAGGGTGAAAAAGAATGGGCCTATCTGCTGTCTTATCAAGATTTGTCTGCCCTAAGCTTACTCCACACAGAAGCCCCAGTGGTGCAATAGTTAAGCACTCAGCTGTTAACCAAAAGACTGGTGGTTCATTCCTACCCAGAAACCCCATGGGAGAAAGACCTGGCAATCTGCTCCTGTAAAGATTACAGCCATGAAAACCCTATGGGGAAGGTCTGTCACATGGGGTTGCTATCAGTCAAAAATCAACAAGAAGCTTATCCTAAACCACTCAGCTATGCTGGGGCCAACTAGACTGTGGGCTCTGAGAGGGCAGAGGCAGCACTGGGCAGAAGTGCTGGCCATGATGGGACCCTTACCCTTGAGAGGTTCCTCTGAGCCTGCTTGGACTGGGTGATGTTATCTCGGCCCACTCCCACATCCAGGTGGTTGAGTAGGGTCTTCAGCTGCTGTAGAGTGAGGCTGTCCTCATCACCGTAGCGATGCATAAGGTCCTGCAGGAAGGAGGCAGCACTGATGGCTGGTGTCCCTGTGGACAAAGTGTGAACCCTGGGGACAGTTCTCCATAAGCTGAGTAGAGTAAGCAGGAAGCAGCTGTGGAAGGGCAGATGCAGCAGCTTCATGGTGACCAAATAAGCCTGTAGGAGAAAGAAGCCAGGTATCAGTGAGGTTTCCTCTCTTCCCACTCGGTTAGCCTATGGCAGACTTGGGGGCCACAGACACAGGAGAGTCTTTGAGTCATTCCTCTTCTTCATAATGAATCTAGGTACTATCAAAGTTTGATTCAAAATAAGTCTAGTACTCACCCCGCCTCTAATTCCTCTGCCTAGCTGCTAGAAAAATCTTCTTTTTGAAAGCATAGAATAAAAAATAATAAAATAACAAATTCAACAGATTTGACTAGGTAACATTTTTAAATATAAAAACAATACAACCAGAAGAACTAGATGGTACCCAGCTACAACTGTCAATCACTCACAAAGGGATCAGTGCAGGAGATCCTGAATAGAGTTGAAGAATAATGTGGAACAAAACTCAAAATCATGAAAAAGACCAGGTTTACTGGTCTGACAGAGCCTAGTCAGGCCCCTGAGACTATGGCCCCTAGTTAACCTTCAGGTCTGGAATTAAACTCACTCCCATGGGCTTCTAGTCAAATAAAAGACAGGCATAGGGGCTGAACATTTACATCAGGTAGATACACTCCTTAGAATGAGCAATCATGGGAGAACAGAAGGGCAGTATTGCATAGGGAGATGGCTCAGGGGGGCAGGAATGCATAGGAAAGGACACAGAGAAGAGGTAATTACAGAGAGGAAGTAGGAAGAGAGTTGTTACATTATGGGTGATTAAATTCAATATCATGAAACAAGATGTATATGAAATGCTGTATGGAAAATGAATTTGCTCTGTAAACTTTCACCCAAATCACAATAAAAATTTAAAACATAAACAATACAATTATGTAGTTATAGTACTAAAAAAAAAAAAAAAGATAAAGCTTGTGTTTTTTAGAGTTAAAAACGGAAATAATTAAAAATATAATACAATTATATATAATAATTAAATACTGTTTTATCTGGGATCTGTTTCAAAATGGTAAAGAAGGAAGGATATGTGTATGGAAATATCAACAAAACAAAACAACTGATCAAGTTGCTATGGAGTCAACTCTGACTCATGGTAACCCTATGTGTGTCACAGCAGAACTGTGCTCTATACTTTTCCATATGGGATTACAGATGAGACTAAACTGGGCATAAGCTGATCACTGTTGAAACTGAGTAATGAGTAGATGGCAACCCATTACATAAGTCTATCTACTTAAGTCTCCGTAAAAAAATGTTATTAAAACATAAATACTGCAAGTAAAAGATGGGGGGGTGGTGGGAAGGGCGGGAGCAGAGACCAGTCTCGGTAAAATGTATAAAGATTTCTGTCTATACTGCATAAAATAGTGAACAAACAAAAAAAAAATATTCAGCCTCTATACTATATTATGGGAGCTCTGGTAGCATAGTGCCTAAGGCATTTGACTGCTAACCAGAAGGCTGGTGGTTCAAACCCACCAGCCACTCCTCAGAAAGAAGGTTGGGCAATCTATTTCCATAGTGATACTGCCTCAGAAATCCAAGAAGGGGTCGCTATGAGTCGGGTCCGACTTGACGGCAAATAACAACAACATACTATATTATACTATATTATATTAATACAAATTAAAAACAGGGATGATGCCATTTTGCTACTCATTAAAACAGTAATATAGATTTTCCTAGCCATAACACCTAATATTAATGAGATTAAACAATGGAATAAAATACTGCTGGTGGCTCATAAATATGATTCTTTTGAAAAGCTGTGTGATAATAACAATATTTAAATCCTTTTAAATTAGTAATAGTAATTTTACTTCTAGAATTTATCCTAATAGATGTGATTAAAAAATGAAATGGCCATAGACAGAAAGATATGTTATGGTCAAGTGAATTAAAATATATCAACTTCATGGAATATCATGCAAATACGAAAAATGAGAATCACAGATACAATATTAAGCAAAAAAAAAAAAAAAAAAAAGGCAGGATAATTATATAACAGAGTTAAGAACCAAGAAGGAACACAGAAAAATGAAAGATTAACCATGAGCTATCAGAAGCAAAAACAAATCTTAGAAGAAATACAACCAGAATGTTCCTTAGAAGTGAGGACAGTGAGACTTTGGCTTGCTTACTTTGGATATATCATCAGGAAAAGACCAATCGCTAGAATAAGACATCAGGGCTGGTAAAGTGCAGGGTTGGTGAAGGAGAAGGGGGTCATAAGTAAGATAATTCACGTAATGGTCAAAACAATGGACTCCAACATAGCAACCATCATAAAGATGGCACATGTCTAGGCAATGTTTTGTTTCAGTATACATATATAAGGTTGTCATGAATCAGAGCTAACTTGATGGTTACACTTGTGGTAGAATTCTACCAGCTAACTCGATGACAACCAACAACAACAAAGATGATAGGACTCATGACGATTTTTCTTTCAATAATTTCCCTTAGTATAGTTATAATTTCATTAGTGAAATAAACCAATATCAAGAGGGGGAAACAATCCTTCTTAATCCAGACCCTTGAGTCCCAATCACTGCAGTCTTTTCCATTCCTTCCCCAGACCCAAAGCCCGACACCAGATGCCTTAAGGTGAGTGCTGGGGTGTTTCCACCTCTGACCTCTGCTTGTGAGAGTAGCACTAGAACAGAGTGCTTAGGAGCAGTGTGTTTGAATCTTGGCTCTGCACTTATCAGCTGTGTAATCTTTGGTTAGTTATTTAACCACAGACAACATTCTAAATCACCCAGAGTGGTGATGCAGCTGACCATGGTCTTTGGTGTCAGACACACCTGGCTTGAAATCCTCATGGAGAGCCACTTACCAGGTTAGTGAACTTGGGCAAGTTATTTAGCCTGTCTCTACCTTAGTTTTCTCATCTATAAAACTGGTACCTAGAAGGTGGGGACCAGGTTTGCTGGTCCAATAGAGCCTAGTGTAACCACTGAGACTATGGCCCCTAGCTGCCCTTCAGGCCTGGAATTGAACCCACAACTGTGGTTTCCAGCCAAACAAAGTACAGGCATGTGAGTTAAACATTTACCTCAGGTAGACACATGCCCTGGAGAGAACAATCATGGGAGAAGGAAGGGCTGCTTATGCACAGGGAGATAGCTCAGGGTGCAGAAGAGTATGAAGGGATGGACACTGGGAGGAGGTAACTATGGGGAGGAAGTGGGAGGGGAGCTGCTGCATTGTAAATTTTGGTCAATGACATGAGACAAAGTATATGTGAACTGCTGTATGAAAAGTGAATTTACTCTGTAAATCTTCACCCAAATCCTAATTAAAAAAAAAAAAAAAAAAAACTGGTACCTACCTCACTGGATAAGATCTAATGTTAGTGGGTTATTGTAGGGATCAATGGCAAGGCCCTCACAGAGTGCCTGGACTATACAGAAAGTATTCAATCAATCTAGCTATTATTGTAAGACTTATAATTAGCAGAGGGAGCTCTGGTGGTGCAGTACTTAAAGCACTTGGCTGCTAACCAAAATGTGAGCAGTTTGAACCCACCTGCCAGTCCATGGAAAAACATGAGGCAGGCAGTCTGCTTCCATAAAGATTTACAACCTTGGAAACTCTATGGGGAAGTTCTGCTTCCTATAGGATCACTATGAGTCAAAATTGACTCTATAGCAGTGGGTTTGGATTGGTTTTTATAACTGGCAAGGTTCTTCCACATTGACTCTCAGCCCAATGAAATGCTAATGGAACTATCAGGAATACCCTCATGAGTAACTTATTTTCAGCTAAAATGATCAGAATTCTAGGCCTGTAGCACACACATAACACAAGTCCTCTACCACAAGTATAACCAGGGACATTCCAGGCTTTAAGTTCCAAACACAGGGCACGTAAAGAACCTGGGGTTATAAATGACACCCTCCAGTGGAATACACTTTGAGTCACATATGTGGATGGATTAGCTATGAGAAAAAAAAAATGATGGTTTAGAAAAGATGGTTAGAAAAACTAACAATTCTCAAATCCCTACCAAAAGGAACCAAAAGTTAAATTATGATGACCAGGGTGGATCTTAGGCAAAAAATGACTAAAACTCATTGTACAAAGAAAGCTGCTACCCACCTGACGATACTGTAATCTGTCTAAGGCTTGTGTTGTACTATCAAACTAAAGGGGAGGAGGTCTGCCTGAATTTAGAAAAGGAGAGGTAAAAAAATGATGGTGACAGCAACTAGCAGGTACCAAGCGTTTAGGGAAACCTTGCTAAGCCCTTGACTTGCATTGATTCCTTTAGAGAAGATGTTATACTTATCCTCATCTAATGGATGAGGAAACTGGGGTTTCAAGATTAGGAAATTTGATCCATAGCCAGCAATCAGGGAAACCAGAAATTGATTTTTTTTCATGAGTTAAAACCAAATCTGAATGACACTAATGTCAGTGCACTCTTAGCCACTGTCCTCGCTGTGTGGAGACAGAAAAATACATATCCTGGATCCCATGGAGGGTCACAATATCCCGCATGTCTCCGAGCAGGATCTCTATGCCAATCAAGCATCTCAAATTCAGGTTTAAGATGCTCTGAAGGCCTATATGAGGGACATCCTGGGTATGCTAAGTGCTCAGAGGTCAGACTTATTACAGGGTTCCTTCTGTAGAATCATTTGTGGAAAACAATTGTTTTCACTTCAGAAGTATTTCTCAAAATTATCTGCAAAAACTTCAAAAACAGAAAACACAAACAAAAACACACTTCAAGTATTAGAACCCTCCTTCTTGGCCTAACACCTGAAACATGTACCCCACTCCCCAAAGAGTTCAGGCGACAGTCTAAAACCAACTTGAGGGCAGTAAGACCTGATGCAGAGATCTTAAGAGTGGCTAGAGTCACTTCCGACCTAAGGGAACTTGGTCTCCTCACAGACATGGATGGGGAGCTTTCTGCTCCAGTAGAGATTTTTTCTTAACTACAAGTTTTTCTTAAGAAAAAAAAGTTTACAAAAGAGTCTTTGGAGGAAAGAAAAAAGAGAGGAAGAAACCACCTATGGCACTGGGTCAGCTAGAATGGT